TGTGTGTGTGTGTGTGTGTGTGTGTGTGTGTGTGTGTGTGTGTGTGTGTGTGTGTGTGTGTGTGTGTGTGTGTGTGTGTGTGTGTGTGTGTGTGTGTGTGTGTGTGTGTGTGTGTGGAGAGACTGTGTGTTGGATCGTTGGAGCTTTGTGCAACTCAAGGCATATGCTCGAACGGGAGCTGCCTGGACGCTGCAATCATGTTGCGCGCGCTATCCGTGCTGAGTTTGCTGACTTTTCGTACAATGTCCCCCTCTGTCTGGCTACCTGCATAAAGTCAAGTGCTCGGCGCAGTTGTCGGCGAAATGTCGCTCCTCTGTTTTCATTGAAACAGCTCCTTATATCCGTTAGCGCAGCTAGCTAGCACCAGATGCTAACAACAACAATACACGTAAGGTCTCTCTCTCGCGCCACACATACACACACCCTCCCGGTCCTCCCGATGGCCAGTCCAGGCCTGCCGGTGAGCGTGGAAGTGTGGTCTGCCACAAGCGGGCGGCAGGAGCGGGGCTGTCAGCATCAGCTTGTAGATGGTATTTTAAACTCAATGCGCTCTGAAACTACGGGGCCGCCGAGGAAAAAAATACACATGCGTTAATCGCGTTAAAAATAATTAGTGGCGTTAACACTTTAACGCAAAAAAAAACTTAGCCTAAAAAAAGCCCTAAAAAAAATGCATTCATCATCATAATTATTCTATATATATAATTTACACAGTGCCTGTAAACCGGAGGAGAACGCTGGCATTTCTCCTCCTACTTCAAAGACTACGGAGGGATAGGGTCTGCAAAATTAGTTTGTGTGTATATGCTATATATCCTCTGAACGTTCCACTTCCTGCCTGCCCGACATTACCTTACGGCTGCTTCGCGTCGAAAAATAGACTTTGAGCGGAGCCCAGCGGCGAGACGCTTCTGGGACGCTTCTGAGCGGTAACGCGGCGCGTCTGGTGGAATAGCACCCATTGACTAGAGTGGCCGCGATCCTGGCGGATGCCGCGGCGCAGCCGTAACGCAGCCGTAACGCAGCCGTAACGCAGCCGTAACACGGCCGTAACGTGCCGCAGACTGACCCGGTGGAGTATAGGGGTAACGCGGCCGTAACGCGACGCAGACGGACCCGGTGGAATCTAGGGGTTAGAGGCCTCCCAGACTTTCCCTACTTTATCTGTTGACCCGATGTTCACCAGGAAGAAACTCTCAAGATCCTCTGCCATTAAACTATTAAAATCTGTGTCCTGAAGCAAGGAAACATTCATCCTCCATCTGCTTTTCTTAACCCCATCTGGCTCCATTACTAAGCATAGTTGAACTGCAGCATGATCAGTCAATGCCAGGTCCTATCGAGCAGTCTGAAATGCTCTCCACCTAATCTTTGCTGATCAGAAAGTAATCTATCCTTGAGTGAGATTTATGGTTGTTAGAATAGAATGTATACTCTCCCTCTCTCTCTCTCGGGTTGACAAGCCTCCAAATATCTGTCAGTCCAAGGTCCTTCCCCAAAAGCTTGATATTTATATCTTTTAACATTTCTGACATATCTTTTGACTACTTACAGTATATTAGACGCACAAACCTGTAAATGTGAACACACATACAGCAAAAACCATGGTATGAACGGAAACCACCTGAGCTATCTAGTATATCATTAATAAAACAATTACATTTCTCTGAAGTGTTTCCCATAAAAGGGGCTGCCCATGTAATAATCTACCCACGCTGGAAGATGAACAGGTGGAAGCAGCATGAAAGATAATAGTAGGACTTACTGTTCTTTTCTTTCATCCATGTTCTCCAGCTGGACCACTACCCAGTGTCCACACACTTCCTGCCCAAGGCCTCCGACACCAACTTCAACCTGCTCAAGAGTATCTTTCTTGGAAAAGTATTTGGTAAGTGTGAAGATGAGAAAATCTGAGTGTGGATCCTGTTCAGACAGCACTGAAATCTACTGGGGTTATGCATGAGGAGTTTCAGCATCTTGAAGCAATACCAACGATAAGCTTGAAAATGATCATTTGTAAATCAATTACTCACCCTTGAATTCTTGAATATGAATATGAGAATATGCTTATTTTGAGTGTTGATTAATTTAATTAAATAAAGGTTTGACAAAAGCGAACATATGTCCAAATATCTGTTCACACACGTAACTCGTGCTGTAAACTTCATTCAAACTCATATTTCCCAAACACGTATAGTTTTAGAAGAACAAAGCTCTCAGTGATAAATGAGAAAGGGGGGAGACAGAGGTGATGTCAAAAATCTTCCCAGTGACGGCAACTTTCCAGGTGAGGGACACAAAATCTCCTGATGATTCCCGGGATGCTGACAGGAGAGGAGTTTAAGAGCAGTTTTAAACACGTTTGTGTTGTGTGTAAGGTAACTAACATCTGAAAGGAATGGCCACTGTTGCTTACTATAATATAATACCATTTTCCAATAAGAACTATCCTCAAATGTGCTAATTATAATGAATCAAGATTTCATACTATTATTTTTGCTGTTCGTAAATGTTGGTTTCTTAGCTAAATATGACATGGATCATCTCTGCTCTTTTTAAGATGAATGAATATGTATGCATGTTCCTTATTTGAATAATATTATTTTTTGATGGTTATGACCACCATGTAGAAACTGGACAGATTGACCCCATCTTAATCGAGCGCTACAACACGCCGGGCTTTGTGGGCTGTCTGTCTCGCGTACAGCTGAACGGTGTGGCCCCGCTGAAAGCAGCCCTGCGCTTGGGCCCCGCAGCACCCGTCAGCACCCATGGCATTCTAGTCCCCTCCAACTGTGGAGCATCACCCCTCACCATCTTCCCCATGGCCTCAGCCAGTGACCCCTGGCACGTCGAAGCAGGTAGAGACACAGACAGATGATGCATGTTAACCTCAGAACCAGCCACAGTCAGATTGTAACAGATGTTCCTCCACAGCTGGAGCGGTGTTCCCCTTCAAAGAGAACAAGGCCAAGGAAGGAGTGGACCGAAACTCTGCCATCGTGGGAGGTAAATCTCATTCAACTCCTACAGACTGTGCGAGCTGCAGCTGTCTCCCCCAAACACAATGTATTTTTCTATCAACATTACACAACTTAAGATTTATCACATCTAATCTTGTCAGGAAGGAGCACAAATATAAAAGCATAAAAATCAATAAGTAAAGAAAGAAAATACCTAGAGCAAATGAAGTGGACAATCCACAGGACACATATCCAAGTCAATCAATCAAAGTTATTTTATTTAGTCCATTATCTCAAATGTTACATTTGTCTCAGTGGACTTTACAGTTTGTACATAATATGAATAAGACACCCTCTGTCCTTGGACCCTCACATCGGATACGGAAGCAACCCCAAAGAAACCCCCCAGGTAAAGGGGAAAATGGAAGAATCCTCAAGGAGAGCAACAGAGGAGGATCCCTCCCAGGACAGACGGACGACGTGAAACAGATGTTGTGTGTAATTTAAAAAGATTATACATTTACAACATAGGTAGTCCAAATGCTTGGAAATGCATGTGTCTATAAATAAGAAGAAGATGGATCCAGGAGGATGTCAACAATCCTGTAAGAGCCATCAGAGAAGTAGTATGGTGAGAATCGGGCAGGACCACAGAGACAGTTTCAGCCAGGACTCAGGATGCAGGACTCAGGATCCAGGACTCAGGATCCAGGACTCAGGACCAGAGACAGGTTCAGCCAGGACTCAGGATGCAGGACTCAGGATCCAGGACTCAGGTTCCAGGACTCAGGACCACAGAGACAGGTTCAGCCAGGACTCAGGATCTAGGACTCAGGATCCAGGACTCAGGATCCAGGACTCAGGATCCAGGACTCAGGATCCAGGACTCAGGACCACAGTGACAGGTTCAGCCACGACTCAGGATCCAGGACTCAGGATCTAGGGTTTGCGACCGCAGCGACAGGACCAGCCACGACTCAGGATCCCGCCGTAGATAGACACCAAAAAGAAATTTGGGGGAAGCTGAGTTATTTGGAACATGAGAGTACACAGGTACAGACAGAGAGAAGGAAGAAGTAAGATGTCCCCCGACAAACTAAGCCTATAGCAGCAAAACTAGGGGCTGAATCTAATCAGCCCTAACTATAAGCTTTATCAAAAAGGAAGGTCTTCCGGTGACATGCAGTGAAGGCGTCTAGCTCGCAGCCAACTACCCCTCAAAATATGCATTAAGTGACTTTTTCAGAAGGATCAAACAGCTTTAAATAAAGCGTTCGGCAAATATTAATATCGAAGAACATTTCGGCGTGTAATTTGTTTTTACCACACGTCTAGTCTGATCACACCGGGCCAATTGTTTGTTCAGCCTCGCGGATGCCGACCACGCGCAGCACCCTGATGGATCCTGAATCGCTTGGAAAACTCATAAGAGATATCGTTCGAGAGGAGATCACTTCTGCATTGGAGGATAAATTAAAACCAATACAGGACTCCCTATCTAAGCTCCAAGTGACAGCGGTGAACAGCGTCTGCAAAATCCAAACAGACAGTCGCCTGACTCAATTAGAGACTACGACTACAAACTGTTACAAAGTTCAAAGGAAAATGGATTGAGGTCCACGGAGCCTCCAAAAGACCTCTAAAAAACGCAAGGTCAGGAAGCCAATTCGTACTCCAGTACCGGCCCACACAGCCATGGTACCACGCTCTAGTACCATCCCACACAGCCATGGTTCCGTGTTCCGGTTCCATGCCCAGCAGCAATGGTCCCTGCTCCAGTACCGG